AGACAGGCGCTGAATTTCAGGGTTGGGTCACCGGCATCCCATATGATCCACAGTACTGCCGCCTTTATGCTTGTCATTATATAGAAAAGAGGTTCAATACATTTTAATTATTTTGAAACATTTCATTAATCCTAATTGGAAGCAATCAAGTAAGGAATAACAAACTAAAAATGGAAGATTATCTACCCATTCATGGTTAGTAAAATTTCAATGATGGAAAATGATAAAATTCAAGAAGACAATCTAAAGTTTTAAAAATTTAAATTTCTATATACTCCAGCATAAATTTGCCATTACTGAAGTGCCAGGCTCAGCATGGGAAAGCGCTCCCCCTAGTGGTTCTTTGTGGGAACTAGAACTAAATTAAACTAGAAAATTCCTTTTAGGGGGGAAGTGGGGGGCCACACCAGTGATGCACTGGGGTTACTCTTGGCTCTGCACTCAGGAATTACTCCTGGCAGTGCTCAGGGGTTTATATGGGATTCTGGGAATTGAACCTGGGTTGGTCGCGTACAAGGCAAATACCCTACTTGATGTGCTATATTGCTCCTGGCCCTAGAAAATTATTTTATTTATTTTTTTGCTATTTGGGTCACAACCGGCGATGCACAGGGGTTACCCCTTGCTCATGCATTCAGGAATTACTCCTGGCGGTGGTCAGGGGACCATATGGAATGCTGGGAATCGAACCCGGGTCGGCCGCTTGCAAGGCAAATGCCCTACCTGTTCTATTGCTCTAGCCGGCCCCTAAAAAATTCTTAAGCCGAATAGCACAGGCACAAAAAATTATTAACCCAATACTATATTAGATGTTAAATATTTCATTAATTTCTGAATTCCATGTAGCTACACATGTACGTCTCTATAGATGTAAAGTAAATACGACCCGAAATGATAGTTTTTAAATGTGCAAAAATCTGAGTCTTAGGACCACAGAGAGAGCTCAATGAGCTGAACACAGGAGCCTGTTTCCATCCCAGCACCTCCTCTCCGAGCACCACCTGAACAGCCCCTAAGCACTCCCAGGTGTGCTCCACTGCCAAAGAACAAGTCGTCTTATTAAACTGAACTACAAGCTTAACCTTCATTTTTTTTTTAACCTTCATGTTTAAGACTTCCTCCACTCAGGGGACCATCCTGCAGCTCCCACATGCAAAGCACACTCCAGCACTCTGAACTCTTTCCTACTCCTGAATCCAGGGCCAAATGACTAGAATTCATTATGCTGGAATGTTTATTACATACTACACACAGTTCAAAGTATGGCTATACAAATGGAACTGCCAAGAAACAACTGCCCTATTTAAATTTTTTTTTTAATTTATTTATTGAATCACTGTGGGAAAGGTTACAAAGCTTTCAGGTTTATGTCTCAGTCATGCAAATATCAAACACATTTCCCTTTACCAATACTTATTTTTTCCCATGAAGAACCCCAATAAAACCCCACCCCCCACCCCTCCCCGTCCCTGTGAGGCAGATGAATTCTAGTTAACACTCTATCTGCTTTGATTAGATTGTTTCAATAAAAGATTCACCACTATTATTTAGAGTTTACCCCCCCCCCAAATCAGACATGCTGAAAAAGCATTGTGAAGTGATTTGCTTTCTACAGCTGGGTTCAAGAATTAAATGTTGGTTTTGGATTTCTGCTATTTTACCTATTGACCCTGGAAGTATTTCTACTGAAAGTCAGATAGTTAAGAAATTGGTTTCTGTGTTCTGGAGTCGTGGCCGTGCTGGAGAGCCGCTCGTGGGGGGTAACTGGTGGCCTCGGTAGGGCGTGAAGGGCGGACCGAAACGCCCCCCTTCCCATGAGGTTTTAGTCGCCCCCACACTCCCGGCTCATACCTGCTGTCCACAAGGCTCCCATGTGGCCGCCATCTTTCTTTCCAGAGAGGAGAGGGCGAATGGGGCAACACCCTTTCCCCTCCGGCAGACTTGATGGCCTGGGTCAACGCATAGTCTGTTCACTTTTCTGCTCCAAGCTGCTGGGTTCTGCATTAAGTCCTTGTGCTTCTGGGGCCATGGCCGTGCTGGAGAGCCGCTCGCGGGGGGCGACTTGTGACCTCGGTAGGGCGTGAAGGACGGACCGGAACGCCCCCCGACCCATGAGGTTTTAGTCGCCCCCACTCCCCCGGCTCATACCTGCTGTCCACAAGGCTCCCATGTGGCCGCCATCTTTCTTTCCAGAGAGGAGAGGGCGAATGGGGCAACACCCTTTCCCCTCCGGCAGACTTGATGGCCTGGGTCAACGCATAGTCTGTTCACTTTTCTGCTCCAAGCTGCTGGGTTCTGCATTAAGTCCTTGTGCTTCTGGGGCCATGGCTGTGCTGGAGAGCCGCTCGCGGGGGGCGACTTGTGACCTCGGTAGGGCGTGAAGGACGGACCGGAACGCCCCCCGACCCATGAGGTTTTAGTCGCCCCCACTCCCCCGGCTCATACCTGCTGTCCACAAGGCTCCCATGTGGCCGCCATCTTTCTTTCCAGAGAGGAGAGGGCGAATGGGGCAACACCCTTTCCCCTCCGGCAGACTTGATGGCCTGGATCAATGCATTGTCCGTTCACTTTTCTGCTCCAAGCTGCTGGGTTCTGCATTAAGTCCTTGTGCTTCTGGGGCCGTGGCTGTGCTGGAGAGCCGCTCGTGGGGGGCAACTGGTGACCTCGGTAGGGCGTGAAGGACGGACCGGAACGCCCCCCTTCCCATGAGGTTTTAGTCGCCCCCACACCCCTGGCTCATACCTGCTGTCCACAAGGCTCCCATGTGGCCGCCATCTTTCTTTCCAGAGGGAGGAGGGCGGAAGGGAGCAACACCCTTTCCCCTCTGGGCAGAAATGATTGCCTGGATTAACGCATAGTCCTTTCACTTTTCTGCTCCAAGCTGCTGGGTTCTGCATTAAGCCCTTGTGCTTCTGGGGCTGTGGCCGTGCTGGAGAGCCGCTCGTGGGGGGCAACTGGTGACCTCGGTAGGGCATGAAGGACGGACCGGAATGCCCCCCTTCCCAGGAGGTTTTAGTCGCCCCCACACTCCCGGCTCATACCTGCTGTCCACAAGGCTCCCATGTGGCCGCCATCTTTCTTTCCAGAGAGGAGAGGGCGAATGGGGCAACACCCTTTCCCCTCCGGCAGACTTGATGGCCTGGGTCAATGCATAGTCCGTTCACTTTTCTGCTCCAAGCTGCTGGGTTCTGCATTAAGTCCTTGTGCTTCTGGGGCCGTGGCTGTGCTGGAGAGCCGCTCGTGGGGGGTGACTGGTGACCTCGGTAGGGCGTGAAGGACGGACCGGAACGCCCCCCTTCCCATGAGGTTTTAGTCGCCCCCACACCCCCGGCTCATACCTGCTGTCCACAAGGCTCCCATGTGGCCGCCATCTTTCTTTCCAGAGGGAGGAGGGCGGAAGGGAGCAACACCCTTTCCCCTCTGGGCAGAAATGATTGCCTGGATTAACGCATAGTCCTTTCACTTTTCTGCTCCAAGCTGCTGGGTTCTGCATTAAGCCCTTGTGCTTCTGGGGCTGTGGCCATGCTGGAGAGCCGCTCGTGGGGGGCAACTGGTGACCTCGGTAGGGCGTGAAGGACGGACCGGAACGCCCCCCTTCCCATGAGGTTTTAGTCGCCCCCACACTCCCGGCTCATACCTGCTGTCCACAAGGCTCCCATGTGGCCGCCATCTTTCTTTCCAGAGAGGAGAGGGCGAATGGGGCAACACCCTTTCCCCTCTGGGCAGAAATGATTGCCTGGATTAACGCATAGTCCTTTCACTTTTCTGCTCCAAGCTGCTGGGTTCTGCATTAAGCCCTTGTGCTTCTGGGGCTGTGGCCGTGCTGGAGAGCCGCTCGTGGGGGGCAACTGGTGACCTCGGTAGGGCGTGAAGGACGGACCGGAACGCCCCCCTTCCCATGAGGTTTTAGTCGCCCCCACACCCCCGGCTCATACCTGCTGTCCACAAGGCTCCCATGCGGCCGCCATCCTTCTTTCCAGAGAAGAGAGGGCGAATGGGGCAACACCCTTTCCCCTCCAGCAGACTTGATGGCCTGTATTAACGCATAGTCCTTTCACTTTTCTGCTTTAAGCTGCTGGGTTCTGCATTAAGTCCTTGTGTTTCTGGGGCTGTGGCCGTGCTCCAAACTTAACTCTGACTTTCAGGGAGAAAGATTGGGTGGTTTACTTCTCATTGATCACTTTGTATATAGAGAGATGCCGCGCGGTTTTGAGAAAAAGTCCTTGTTCCCGCATACTCGAGCTGTGTTTGTAGAGGCTTCTGGTCACCGGGGTTCCATCTGGGGAAGGCGGGATGCGGCACCTACTCCATCTGGAACTTGCAGGTGAACTCGGCTCTTTTTGGAACCTGTTTTTTCTTTTTTTTTTCCCCTCCGGGATCCCGCACCCTCCATGTGTTCTTTCTCTTATGCTGAACGCTTCAAAGATGGCCTGCCCTATTTAAATTTAAAAATACTAAAATCCTTCCATTTTGACTGATTAAATGTGTGTATCAGTTTTCAATGTTTTTATTCTTGGTGTTTAATCAGAAACTCTAAGGACCGTATTTTGTAGATTCATTCTTTTTTCAACATATACTCCACTTCACAGAGTACTTCTTTTGTGTCCGTTGAGCATGCTGAGGTGCTGAGAAGACACGTGAGTTAGCAGGTCCTCATGCCGGACTACACACCCAGCCTGGTATATGCGCCTGGGCCCAGAGTTTCAGTTTATGTGGCGAAACCTTTCCCAGGACTTTGCTGCATTACTCTCCACCAATTTCCTCTAATGCAATGTGATCTCTTCCAAGGCAAAGCATTCCAAATAAGCCCTCAGATTTTGGGTAAATATGACAACATGCTTATTTGGGAAAGGGTGAGGGTGTATGGTGACATAACTGTCATTAGTGGGTAAGGATCAGGGTGTGATGAATCTCGAAACGGGGTGACATATTTTGCCTATGAAGAATTATTCCACCCCACTGGTCAATAATGGTTGTCTACTAAGAGACACTGAGCATAAGATGGTTTCAAAATTTTATTTCAGTTACATAGTTTTCCTTCTAAAGAACACATCACATACTTTTAAACGCATTTTATTAGATAGCTACAGTCCAAAAATTATTTCATTGAAAATTACCCAAATAAGTGCAAAATTACTTAATAAATGGTTTTCTACAACTTGGTTTGGCTAAAAAACTCAAAATCAAATAGAAGACATCTGGTAAATACTGATTACACTGAAGAGTTTTGAAAACCAGAAGTTAGTAAATGAAGACATTTATATCCTGTTCATAGATTTCTTCAATGTTAATTTAAATAATAAATCATATAATGATTCAAACTTGTCTGACAGTGTATAAAACAAAAAATTTGTGAAGAAATTGCAGGTAAGAGCAATCACTTCAGTGCAATGAAATACTTTTTTTTTTTTTTAAAAAAAGTGTCCCTTAAATGTAAGCATGCACCTCTATTTCACAAGCAGGAGCAGAGTGGGGCCAGCCTCCAGAATTTCTGACAAGTTTCAAGGTGATGCTGATGCTGGTGGTCTAGGCAAACTCTGAGAACCACCATTTTTAGACACTTTCTCAAGTATTAAAGCTAGTTATCAATATTTCTATGCCTTTGCATTCCCTAATTCCTAAATAAAGAACATTTTAGAAATGGCTTCACTAACCTACATTGCTAGACACTTGAACATGTCCTACATAAGTAGAAGTGAAGGTATAATTTATTCATGATGGTTCATAAATAATTCCATATGTTCAAAAGAGAACTACAGGATAGTCCAGGTGCTGGATAATCTAGTAATATCAAAGTTACTTACAAAATACATCCCAACTATTAGTGCCAGGGATCCAACAAGTGTGCCTAACCCCTCCCTGCTTCTTCCCTTGAGAAAACCCAGTGAGACTCATCTACCCAGAATGAGAACATGACCTGTCATGAACACCTGCATAAATAGCATAGTGGGCTGTCCATTATACTTAAGACTCAGATTCAGGGACTTCTTCATCCGGGCAGCAGTAATATTCCACAAAACATATTTGTCCATCTTCATTTCTAATCATATATTGCAATGAGAGGAATCCTCGGTTATCTGTCCGAATAGACACTTTACAAGATAGAACTAAGGCCTTTGTGGAGGGTTTCAGTAAAGAAATCTTGTATCTGAAAGAGTAAATAAAAAGCTGTTATTTGGGGGCTGGAGCAATAGCACAGCGGGTAGGGCATTTGCCTTGCATGCGGCTGACCCAGGTTTGATTCCCAGCATCCCATATGGTCCCTTGAGCACCACCAGGAGTAATTCCTGAATATAGAGCGAGGAGTAACCCCTGTGCATCGCTGGGTGTGACCCAAAAAGCCAAAAAAAAAAAAGCTGTTATTTGGACAAAGCAGTGCTCATAAATCAAGTGAAGGCTGAGAGCCAAGAATGACCAATAAATAAATACAAGATTCAGTCCAATATTATCATTCTAATGTACTATTATCTAATTTCCATCTATTACAAACGGGAACTTCCTGGTAAATCATACTGTTCAATTTTTAAAATGCTATCAACAGTCTGAATTTTTTTAAAAACAAAAATAAAAAGCATTTAAAAGAAAATTGGGATTTCTGCATGATCAAAGGCAACCTCTGTATCAACTGACCTGTTGACCTGAGTCTGACTACACTGGAATGATTCTATCAAATCAGAATCTTTGGGATAGTCAAGGTGAGAGTTCCCAGCATTTCCGAAAGTGGATAACCTACAAAAGAGAACAAGAACAGAAAGACAACAAAAAAGGGAAAAATGGACACAAATAAAAACATAAAAATTAATAATCTGTAGCAAAAAAAATCAACTCATTAATTCAGCGGTTCAATAATAAACTGCATTAGGGTCCAAATAAAGAAAACCCTTCCTTAAAAAGCTGATTCGGGTGAGTGAAACAGTCATGTAAACAAATGCAGGCAAGACTGTTTCACAGACCAAATGAAGAGCCCATATATGCTGTGGAATTCACAGCTTTAGAGAGTATCAGTCACAGATCCTGGGGGCACCTGCCTGTTTTCATGGCCTTAAACCCTATTGAGATAGGGACTTTTACTTTCCTTCTTAAGCAAGAAGTACATAACACTGGAGATAGGGAGTTGGGGGATGCGAGGGGAGGGGGGAAGAGGAAAACCCCTGACCACCACCAACTGCAGGCAGGAATTGGGGTCCCTCTATTGCCCACACCAAGTGCTTGTGTATTTTTAGACCATTCTATTTCATAGTTTTCTTGATTGATACTATTGGTAGTTTATGTGTAGAAAATTTATAAATGTTTAGGTGTTTGCTAACTCTGGAAGAACTTAGTGATCATTTGCTATGGGGTTACATATTAAGTACTAAACGAACCCAGTGATAGAATAAGATTAAGTCAAGGTGGATTTCTCCAGGATTCACCTTTTGTCTTTTCTTCTAACTTAAGGTCTCTCTCGGAGCCCTCCTATCTATGACCACTCACAATGAGGGTTCCCAAATCTCTAGAGCTTTATACCTCCATACCCAACAGTCCTCTAAGTGTCAAAGGCACCTCAAATGAAACATTTTCTTTTAAGTCAATTTCCAGTTTATTACCACCACCTCCTTCCCCTTATTGCAGTCACATACTGTGACCATGAAAAGACAGATCACTGGCATGAGAACCCTTTGAAATGCTCTTTAATTGCCTGAAAGTTTATTCCATGCAGCTAAAATAAGGTTTTACTTATTTTTATTTTGGTTAACAATTCAACAGACCTTGTGCCAAAGTTTCAACTGCCTAATGCTATAAGGGCTACAGTTACTTTCAAGTAAATAGAAAAGAACAATGTAAACTTCTCATTCTCCACTTATTTAACTCCTTTGTTGTGTTCTGAAATATTTCCAAAGAGAATATTTAGATCCTCTCTCTAAATTGACCCTAAATTGAAGGAGACATGTCATTTCATTATGTGTGGGGAAAATATGTCTGGAGCAGCTAGAAACGTTCTGGCATTGTATTGAAAGCTGAAAGCTGCTCCCCTCGACCCTGCCCCTGCCCAATCCTCTCTTAAGCATTTGTGCCTGTCCTGGTTCCTCAACATCTCTATTATTTGATATTATCCTGGCACTTACTAGTATGCAATTTTATTCCCTCTGTGGTATTTTCTGTATCTGTTAGCCTTGAATTTAAGCTAATCCTTCCTACAGGTAAGCTATGACCAGCAACTTGGTGAATGCATAGGGAACATCTACTTCACTTTGCTTCCCCTACTACCTTGAAAGAGAAAGCGAGCCCATGTAATATGAATCTTTTCCAAAGTTTATGAACCTTTCCCTCATCACATAACCTCACCAACAGTAACTAGGACAACAATATGAATTATGAGAGGCCGGAGCGATAGCACAGCGGGTAGGGTGTTTGCCTTGCACGCAGCCAACCTGGGTTCGATCCCTGGCATCCCATATGGTCCCCCAAGCATCGCCAGAAATAATTCCTGAGTGCAGAGCCAGGAATAACCCCTGAGCATCGTTGGGTGTGACCCCCCCCCAAAAAAAAACAACAACATGAATTATGAGACTAGGCTGCACACCTAAAAACATTAAATGTGAAGCCTTAAACAGTAATATATCCTGGACATGAAATTTCCCAATCTGTACATATGTGGTGAGAGTAATAGCTCTCTGAAGTTCTAAAAATTCTAGGATCCTGAGGATGAGGAATGCATCTCAGCAGTAGAGAGCTCCCTTGCATACATGAGATACATGACTTTGATCCTCAGCTCCTAAAAAAGAAAAAATGGATCTTTGAGCCAGGGAGAGAGAGCTCAAAGAATAGAGTGCTGAAACACATATTAGGCATGCAACAGCCCAGGGTTCAGTCTTGGCAATCACATGGTCCCTTTAGTATTGTTGGGTGTGAACTCAGTATAACTAGAACCCGGATAATAAAAGTTCTGCAGTCCAAGTAAATCTGAAAGCAGGGAGAGGAGACTATACTGAGAGCAGAGCGCTCAAGTACCTGAAGTAAGGTTTGTCAGGAGACATAGTGATCTGGAGGACCTCACTTGTCATATCCAGTTCAGAAAATGCTTCACGGAGTCCCTCGGACTGCAGAATAATTTTATTAATAACATTGGTGCTGCAAAAGTCAAAATCCAGAGTTTCCTCAGGCTCCTGAGTATTGATTTTACAGACAGTCACCACTCCTCCTTCTTCCAAAAATAACATCAATGGGTAACCATAACCTTGGTAGCACAAGCGGAGTGCAGTTAAAGTCCCTGAAAAACAGAAAAACATCACACTTTCTGTCTAAACTTTAAAGCTCTGGGTTCAGTGTTTCCTCAAATGACACATAGAACTGTTCAAGAATATCCTCCGTGGGGCTGGAGCGATAGCACAGAGGGTAGAGCGTTTGCCTTGTATGCAGCCAACCTGGGTTTGATTCCCAGCATCCCATATGGTCCCCTGAGTACCTCAGGCATGATTTCTGAGTGCAGAGCCAGGATTAACCCCTATGTATCGCCGGGTGTGACCCAAAAACAGACAAACAAACAAACAAAAAAAATATCCTGTGCAATTTCTAGCACTAATGTGCCTCCTCCTAAGAAGGGGTCACATTTCTCCTGATGACAGTCGTGCATAGACAAGTCCCAAAATAATGGCAAGAAAATTCAGGACCAGAATAAAATGTTAACTCTCTGAAGTCATTTTCCAGCTTGCCTAAAACCACTCAAAACAGCTTACTAATGTTATACATATATTTTTCAAATAGAAACTCCCCATGGACCAGTGCTCTAAGGAGAATTGTGCAAAATTCATTATGCTGTGTCTTGAGGGCTCAATGTGTACAACAGTGGACTGTTGGATAGGTTTCACCTCTGTTAATTTCTTTACTATAAGGATCCTTCCAACCTTTTCTATGTGGAGATATTCCTTACCTTAAATTTTAAGATCAGATTATAAGAAAAACAGAAGGTGATTAAATGAATTTAGGATTTCAGCATCACAAACCACTGTTGAGGTTACAGTAGGAGAGAGCCACAATGAGGGAAGGGAGAAGGCAGATATATTTATGAAAAATGAGCTGGAGAACACAACATTAAAAAAGTACATTTAATACTAATGAATTATTAGTACAAATTAAAATTATTTTATAAAGAACTTCAACAGAATTTTCCCTTAGTCTCTTGATTGCTTTTCTATGACATAAAACCACTCTTTCAATGACTTAATAGTTTTATATCCACAGCAATTAAACTCAGAGCGATAGCACAGCTGCAGGGCGTTTGCCTTGCGCTCAGCCAGCCCGGCCAACCGGGTTCGATTCCTCCGCCCCTCTTGGAGAGCCTGGCAAGCTACCAAGAGTATTTCACCTGCATGGCAAAGCCTGGCAAGCTATCCATGACGTATTGAATATACCAAACACAGTAACAACAAGTCTCATGACGGAGACGTTACTGGGCCTGCTTGAGCAAATCGATTCTTATAATCGCTAAACAAAAATCAGAAAGAATTTGGAAAATGGACATAAAAAACAGCTCAAAGGGAAAAATTAGTTTTCAACATAAATGAAGCCAAAGAATAGGTTTCTATGTTTCCTCTGCCACAAATGGTAATTCTGAATAAGCTAGGTGGTAAAGCAAGACATTTTACAACGTTAAAATGTTACTGATATTTTACAACATATTCAAAGTCTTCGGTGAATTCAAATTTAAAACCCTTTGTAAATTGAAAAAAAAAAGACAAACGTAAATACTTCTGCATATGAAAGGATTCTTAAGCACATTTCTATTACTATGAGAAGTCAGAATTTTTGTGATCAATGAAGAATGAAGTGAAAATTTTCTAATATGTTTGTATCGCTTACATTCTAATACTTTGTCCAGTATTAGCTATTCTGTCTAAATTTTTATGTCATTATAATAAAATGGCTTACCTGGCGTAGGACTTGATCCAAAAATAGATAAACAGTCTAAAAGGACAGTTAAATTAATTCGAAAAGTAACAGATTCTTCCTGAACTGAAAACTCTTGAAATACCCCAGCCTACAGAAAAAAAAAATCAAACTGTATTAAAACAAATTAAAGAATGAAACAAATGTGTGATGCTGGAATACATACGCTTTTTAAAATAACACATCGTGAAACTTGTTTCTGATCAAGACTTTTTAATGCTTTTTGGGCCACACTGGCAATGCTCACGGGTTATTCCTGTCTTCTAAATTCAGGAATTATTCCTGGAGGTGCTTGGAGAACCATATGGAATGCTGGGGATGGAATCTGGGTTGGTTGTGTGCAAGGCAAGGGCCCTATCCATTACACTATCTCTATGGCCCCCAGCAATCAAGACATTTTTAGGGGAATTGGGTCTTCACAAGGTATTTGGGGTTGGGGTGGGGGTCTAGAGGGTCATACCTATTGGGCTTGGGGAACTGTGGATGCTGGGGACTGAACTCAGGGATGCACTCCAATGCTTCATGTTCTCTCCCCGCCCCAATCTAGACATCTTAGGCTTTTCCCCAACCATTATCCACTAGACTTACATTGCTCAACAGATAAAGGAATAGCAGTGGTTTTGTTCATCATCTAAAACTTTATCAAGGATTCTTCATCTAGTTTTAGATATAAGCTATCTCCCTACCTTAATAAGGCCATTTTGAAAACAGCAAAGTAATTTAATAGTGCAGAAGTGAAACTAGTTTTCAAATTCTTTTCAGGACACAGAAGACAAATAAGAAGATACACCTTCAGGGGTCAGAGAGAGAGAGAGAATATTGCAGAGAAGGTGCTGAAACTAGTTCCATGCTGGGCACCCGGTATGGATCTAGGAGCACAGCCAGTAATGATCCCTGAGCATCTCTGCATATTGCCCAAAACATAACAAAAAAGAAAAAAATCCCTCTATATCTCAAGTCAGAGTGTTTACTCAGGTATACACAAAAAATGCTGAAATACGAAATCCTATTAGAATCATACAAATATTATTTTGAATAAGATTCTATTATAAACAATAGAAACAACTTTTTATTATTATTATTTTAAATAACTGAGCAGTCAAGAACATGCGCGGTAGAGACAAATATCCTGGGTTCCTTGTCAGCAGCTGGCTTTGAGGCAGCCGGTACTCGTCAACTCTCAGCCTCAGTCCCCAGGCATGCAAAATGGGAATAAGACAGGGAACCTGTCTCAGGTGACTAAGGTGCCTGTCAAGGAGTTTGTTAACTTACACACAACAGTCCAGTGCGTGGTCTACGGGTTAGCTGAATACAATGTACACATCACTGGAAGCCACCAGCTCTGTCAGATGGGGGCAAAGACTCTGTTTCCAGGAAAGGGGTTAAAACACACACACCACACACCCTCTCAGATCCTGCGGTTCTGTCCTCCAACGCGGACAAGAGTGCACGCACACAGATGCACGTGCACGTGCGCGCACACACACACACACACACACAAAACCTCAGATCCTGTGGTTCTGTCCTCCAACATGGACGAGGTTACATGCGCGCGCGCACACACACACACACACACACACACACACACACACCACACATACACACCCTCAGATCCTGCGGTTCTGTCCTCCAACGCAGACAAGGATGCACACACACACACACACACTCACACACACTCACTCACTCATACACACCCTCAGATCCTGCTGTTCTGTCCTTCAACGCAGACGAGGCTACATACACACACACATATACACACACCCTCAGATCCTATGGATCTGTACTCCAACGCGGACAAGGATGCACACACACACACACACCCTCAGATCCTACAGTTCTGTCCTCCAACGCAGACGAGGATGCACACACACACACACACACACACACACAAACCCCACACCCTCAGACCCTGCGGTTCTGTCCTCCAACACACACACACACACACACACACACACACACTCAGATCCTGCGGTTCTGTCCTCCAACACACACACACACACACACACACACACACACACACACACACTCAGATCCTGCGGTTCTGTCCTCCAACACACACACATACACACACACACACACACACTCAGATCCTGCGGTTCTGTCCTCCAACGCGGATGAGGTTGGGGGTCGCGGCTCCCCCGAGGTTGAGGCGGCGGCCGCGCCCGTACCTGAATGAAAGCGTTGGCTTGCACGCACTTGGCGTTTTCCACCGTCACCTTGATGCCGTTCTGGGTGGCGAAGCACGTGGCGTGGTCTCGGAAGTGGATGGCCCTGAGGATGGTGGACAGGTTGCGGACGTTGTCCAGGCTGGCCACCAAGCTGTACGCCTCCTCGTCCTGCGCCTGGGTGGTCTCCAGGGGCATGGTGGGCCGCGCCGCGCCGCGCCCGCTCTCGGACTCAGGGGGGCGACGCTTGCCTCCTCCCCCGAACTCCCGCCGCCTCCTCCACGGAAAACGCGGGAAAAGTCGCGCCCGGGGCCGCCACGCACACGACGGTTCGCCCCACAGCTGCTCTCCAGAGGCCGCTGCGCCCCGCCGGCCCCGCTTCTGAGGGAACAGAGCGTGAGGTGCGGCCGCAGCTTCCTCAGACCGAGCTCCAAGGCACCTCGAAACCGCCGAGCGGCCTCAGTCTCCCAGTCCCGCAAGTGCGCGGGAGCCCCACCTCAGCGCGGCGGTCCCCAGGCCTAAACGGGCCCCGCCCCAAGCTAGCGGACCAAGGAAGCGAACGGCAGCGCAGCTCCCGCCTCTGCTTTCAAGACCGCCCCGCCACCTCGGCCACCGTCCGGCACCACCGAGCTCGCGGGGAGGCCTAGAGAGCCCCGCGCCTAGACCGGAAAGGGGCCGCGCCGGGAGCAAACCGCGGAGCGGAGCGCATGTACCATAGAGATCGGAAGCGACGAGCAATCGGGCCGGAAGGAAGGCTGAGCGCCAAGGAAAGATGGCGCCCACCAAGAGGAAGCGGCGTGGGGATGTCTCGGTTCAGGCGAAGAAGAAGAAGAAGGCAAAGAGAAGTGGACACGACGCCGTGCCGCCTGCGAAGCGGCGAGACGTAGTAGGAGAGGAGGAAGAGATGGAGGAAGAAGACCGAGATCGTATTCCTGGCCCCGTTTGCAAGGTAGATTGGCCGAACCCCCGGCTTTACGCGGGGATCGCTGCCCCGCACAGCTCTGCTGGGGCTGCCGGCGTGGTTGGTCCCTGCCCCGCGGACGCCCGCCTCGCCCCGGTCGACCCGGGCGCTGGGTCCCGGAGCTCCTGCTGCCGCCGCTAACCCGCGCGCACGTGCTCGCCCTCCCGTGGGCCGTCGGCACAGCGACTCGATCGCCTCTGCGGCGGGGAGATTTTCACAAAAATAAGAATATTTTTGGACTCAACGTGACTCTTAATTAGTCTCTTGTTGTCGTTGTTTTGTTGTCATGAACCTCTTGCGAGCGCCTGATTTGTAAATTGGGCTTGTTAAAGAGTGTGTGTTGGGACTGGAGCTATATAGCACAGCGGGTAGGGCGTTTGCCTTGCATGCGGCCGACCCGGGTTCGATCCCCGGCATTCCATATGGGCCGCCGAGCACCGCCAGGAGTAATTCCTGACTGCAGAGCCGGGAGTAACCCCTGTGCATCGCCGCGTGTGGACACCTCCCTCCCTCCCCCCCCCCCCCCACACACATACACCAAATGTGTGGTGTTGGCATTTGGCGTCTAAGTGAGGGTCTGGTAATGTGTTCCCTTCTAGCTCCCACCACCCACCCGCTGCTGCCCAGTTACTTGGGCTGGGCAAGGCAGAGCCGGGGGAGGGGGCGTGGTGCTTTTCTTAGAATTTAGTGCCCAGTGCAGAGTGATGAGTGTTCGCATCCTCTGCTGTGCTGTGCGGCCCCCTCTGGAGAGTTTGCTGGCTGCCCTATTTGATCAGATCTTTATGAATGATCTGTGGACTTGCATTAGAATTTGGACGTACGTAGTACAAGACCTTGCTACAAAGTTACACTGCTTCCATCTTTGAAGTCCTTATGGGACTTTACCCCAGAACTAGAGGCGTTTAAGAGTTTTCTTAAGTTTACTACAAAATCAACTGAATACGGGTTGGTAGATTGAGCTTTTTTTCAATCTCACTTCTTAAACTAGATTTTTTTTTTTAAGTTTGTAAAGGGGCCTGAGTCACAGTCCCACGGGTAGGTCACTTGCCTTGCACGCTGCCGGCTCGGATTCGATGCCCTGCATCCTGTGTGGTACCCCGAGTACCTCCAGGAGGGATCCCTTGGCGGTGCTCGGGCACGGAGACAAGAGTAAGCCCAGAGCACTGCCGCTGGCCATGCAAAAGCCTAAAACCCAAGGTAGGGGGATGGTGAATAAATACCAAAGAAATACCTTTGGTGTGTTCATTTCTGCTTTAGGTGTGTAACTGACCGTATGTTTATACGAGGTAAGGAGGTAGTCCTGAGGATCGAAGATGGCTGTAAAATCTAGCTGCCTATCAGAGAATCATATTTTGGCTCTTTGTCGCCCGTAGATTACGGGAAAATGTTTTGGTTTTTGTGAAGAGTGACCTGACTATATAGTGAATGATAGCTAAATGTTTATGCAGTTCGCTCATTCCCTCAAGGAGCTAAAAGTGACCACACCCTGGAGAGATATAGTAAGGGGTTAAGGCACTTGTAACACATAAGACACCCGGACTTGATCTCATAGGGTCTCTGGAGCACAGCTGGGCATGATCCAAAATAAAATCCCAAAAGAAAAAACTATGATTGACCAGAGTCATAGGTAAAGTTTTGTTACAAATGCAGAAGATGGAGAGTATCCTAAGATAATTAGGTTGGTGATCGATGCGGATTCCATCTTTGAGCTGAATGGAGAGGTGTTGATGCCTCATTGAAATTTCAGTATTCAAAAGAGAAGAAACAGGTGCGAGAAAGAAACTGGTCACAAATGGGAAAGTGTTGTTATTAGCTAAAGTATGGGGTTGATCTGGAGGTAATAAAGTGATGAAAAGTAGAAATGTGACTTAGAACCCATTGTTTAGGCTGTGCCATTTTGGACTGCGCAGGGAGGTAAGGTGTGATCAGAGCACTTTGTTAGAAAGATGGAAGCTGGTGCCAGTAGACACCTGTTGGAGGAGCTCTGGTCTGGTGAGGGCTTGCCTTCCAGACTTGCTGTTGTGTGGTTATAAGATTATGATTCTAAGATGTATGGCTATAAGGAAAGGTTGTAAGGTGCATCATTACAAGAGCTCTGTGAATAGGAGAGATGGGGTTGGGGTGTTTAGTTTTGTTTTCTTTTGGTTTGGGGGTCACACCCAATGATGAGCAGGGCTTCTGGGCTCTGTGCTTAGGGATCTCGCCTGGTTGGCAGGCTCCAAACATGGAGTACCCAGGTGATGGATCCAGGGTGGGTGCAAGCAGGGCAAGAGCTTTAGCCTCTACTAAGACAGATTTTAGTTGATCATACACCCATGCTTTTGAGAGTACATCAGCAAGTATAAAACATAGAACCTAGGGACTGAATAGCAAGGAAATTACCAGGTCTTATATTCAGTGTTCTAGAGTTCAATTTGAAGTGTTGGAGAGAGTGCCTCACCTTTTTGTAGGGTTGCCAATATAGAAGTGATTGAGATCTGGCTTGGAGAGAACCAAAATTTAGAAAAGTGTCTAAAAGAGTCTTTAGAATCAGGAGGACGAATTGGAATGATTGAAGAAGGAAAGAAACCAAGGAGAGTCTGTGCCACTGTTATCAGTGTTTGCTAGTGAGAGATTGGATTAAAGGGGTTCAGATTGTTTGGCCAGTTTACTGGAAGGTTTATCTAATAAACAAGTTCAGCTAAACAAGTTCAGCATAAGATTTGAAATCCTTTATTTTTTTTAGGGCAAGTGGAAAAATAAGGAACGGATTCTCATCTTTTCTTCCAGAGGAATAAATTTCAGAACAAGACATTTAATGCAAGACTTAAGGATGTTGATGCCTCATTCAAAAGCAGGTACCTGTATATTTTATACTTCAAAAAATGTATATTGCAATACAAAAGTTGTATCAAATTATATCAAATACATTCTTAACTATATATTCATTTTAAATCACATATATTTGTTCAGCCTTATCTGGTAAAGAACCATGATCAGTATTTTTTCTTTATAAAATTTTTTTATTGACTCACCATGAGATACAATTACAAGACTTTCATGATTGAGTTTCAGTCATACAATGATCAAACACCCATCCCTCCACGAGTGCTCATTTTCTACCGCCAGTATTCCCAGTATCCTTCCCGCCACCTTCTTCTGTGGCAGACACCTTCCTTCTTCTTCTCTCTCTACTTTCGGACATTACGGTTTGCAATTCAAATACTGAGAGATCGTCATGTTTGTAGACTAAGGATCTAAGTAAACTAAGGATCAGATCAATATTTTCAAATTTCATTTTGTTTTCGGTTAGTTTTGTTGGGTTTGGTTTGGGGGCTACACCACGGATGCTTAATCACTTTATCACATTTCCCTGTAAATTACATCCTGCCATTTTAATCAGTATGAGCCCTTCAGCCTCTTTTCACATAAAATTGTCAAGTTCATAAAGACAGTTCTGATGCCATCCCTCTGTTCTTGCTCAAAACCCTTTCACAGAAGCCTCAGTGTCAAAAGAATAAAATCAAAACTCCTTGTTCTTCTTCTCAAGTCCTTTCATCGTTTCCTCCCCACACTGAGGCTCTACCAACTCTTTTCATATCCCCATCTTGGGGCAAACCACTTATTTTTCCTAAATCCTAAACAGTGATGGGAGGTGGAGGGGTGGTTCCCAGGGTCTTAGGTGGTGGCCACACCCAGCAGTGCTCAGGGTTGTCATCTGGCTCAGTGTTCGAGGAACTGCATCACTGGGATTCAAACCACTGTCACAGTCACAGCTTCATACAAGGACAGAACCTGACCTGGGAGGCCAGCTCAGTGGGCAGAGTGCATATGATCTGCTTGATGGGAACTCGGGTTTGATCCCTGGCACTGCATGGTCCCTCCAGCAGTACTGGGAGTAACCCCTGAGCACAGGGCTGAGAGTAGCCTTCAAGCGTCACTGGTGTGGCACCCTGCATGTGCTCCCGCCAGCCCCCACCCCTCCTTCCCTCCTCAGCGAGCTTATTTTTATTTTTAGGCCACACCCTGTAGTACTTGAGCTGGAGCGATAGCACAGCAGGTAGAGCGTTTGCCTTGCACGAGGCCAACCGAGCCAACCGGGCTGACCTGAGTTTGATTCCTCCGCCCCTCTTGGAGAACCCGGCAAGCTACCAAGAGTATCTTGCCCACACAGCAAGGCCTGGCAAGCTACCCATAAAGTATTCAATATGCCAAACACGGTAACAGGTCTCCCAATGTTACTGGGCCCACTAGAGCAAA